GTAGTAATGAAAATAATTTTATGGTTGGGGGTCACTACAACGTGAGGAACTATATTAAAGGGTTGCGGCATTAGGAGGGTTGAGAACCACTGCTGTATTCCATTACTTCCTTTGAGTATCCCCCAACCTGACTGAACCAGTCACTGTTTTTCCGTACATATCCCATGCTTCACATCATACTCGGAAGTATCTTATCTCACCAAGTTTTACTTGTTCAAATACACAGTTCAAGTCTCAAAATTTCATTGTAAATGCCACTTGCTGTTTAAAACCAACTGATACTGCTTCCTCCTAATTCCCACAGCATTTTACCTGTATCATTCATTCAAGGGCATATCAAGGTTTTGAGGGACTGAAGCTTATAAATTTGGAGGGAGAGTTTTTCAAGAATATAGATTATAAAATCATAAATAAAAAATGAGGTACGAGAAGGACTTTGGAGGTTGACTCAGACAAGTGCAGGTCTTTGAAACTTAAGCTTTGTTATCTTCACAGTAAGTCTGCCTCCTGTCTCCCCGGAGCCTCCTTTTCCCCTTTTAGGTTATCATCTCTGGAACAGTGTCTCTCTCTCTCTCCCTCTTCCCGTCCTCCCTCTCCTTCTGCCTTTCCATCTTCTTTTTAAGGGAACCAATAGCATCTGGTGAACAAGAACTTTGAAGTTTTTTGTGAAGACTTTGGTGAAAAGAACTTTGAAGTCAAAGAGATCTAGTTTTAAGATTCTTGCTTCCTCATTCACTTACCTGAGCCTTAGTTTCCTACATTGTGCAAAAGAAGGGTAACAATATCTACCTTTGGGGTTATAAGATCAAATGTGGTAGTAAATACAGGTTTTTTTAAAAAATCTATCAGCCATTCAATTACATTATTTTTAAGAAATTTAAAACACCATTTTATGAGGGTAAACTTCATTTGTCAGGGCAAACACACCTGGCAGGTAACCCTGGAGCTGAAAAATAGCCTTGATTTTCGGTGAAATTTGCGAGTCCACAGCTTTTTGATCAACTTTGCACTGTTCTATTATCTCATATTTCTCTTTCTCTGTGGTGAAGATCTCACTTTTCTGGTGTCTGGGCTTCCAGAGCTGCTTCTTCTTGAAATAAGGAGTAATAAGACACTTTGGGAATTTAACATTACTGGTGTCGATTTTTGTGGTGGTGGTGATGACAAAGTTCTGGTGTGTCCTTCGGAGAGGAACTCAATTGAGGGACAGAGGTCCAGTCACAAGTACCAAGCCACTGCCTGTTGCTTTAGGAAAACCCTCCTCTTGCCTCTGTGGTGCCCAGAGAGGATGATCAGAAGGTCCTGGGTGTGATGCTGGATCACAGTTTTCTCACATGCTGACTAAATGGCTTTTTTGCCATAGTTCAACAGCTTTCAAGGCTCATCTTTGGTGGAATAATATGGAGGTGAGGCATTTTGTGAAGTTTAACCACCCAAGTACCACCATTCTTATTCCCACCAACTGGTTTTGTAACAGTGGCAAGGACCTTCACCTTCTTTTTCTTTTCAAACTTGGGTTTAGCCACTCTTTCCTCCTATACATCGCCTTTCTGGAATACAGGGCAGATGGGGAATATCCGAAGAGAACAGGATTTCGGCTGCAGTGGGGCTTCCCCTGCTTGGCCTGAGGTTTCTTCTCTTTATTAACAGCTTTCTTCTCTTTAGAAACCGGCTTCTCAACTTTTTCACCCGCCATCTTGCAAGACAGGAAAGACTTAAATACAGGTCTTTAAATAGTGCTTAGGACATGATAAGCTCTCAATAAACATTAGATTCCCTCTTTCTATGTGTTAAACAAAAAACATAGGAAGCCATTGTTCTGAACTAAACTCCTGTACTAGGCCTCAACAAGCCGGACTGAAAATCAAAATGGAATTAGCCACGCTTACCAAACTGACACTGAATTGTTATCTGACCCTCTGGAAAGCTAGAGAGAGATAACAGCCTGACTTCCCAAAACAGCCAGTTTTAATCTTCAAATTAAAAGGCGTAATAATAAAGTTCCCTGTGTTTTAGTCCTTAACCTGAAGTAATGTCATGTTAACTGATCAGTTATTTTTCTATTGTTCAATATCTGTGTTCCACCTCATATAGAAAGTACCTGTGAAATGACCAGTGCACTTTTCGTTCTGTTTTTCTTTAGCCCTTCTTTGGTCTATAAAGCCAACCTCTTCTGCTCTACTAACTGGAACACTTATTTTATTTTATGGAATGAAGTGTTGCCCAATTCTAGAATCTCAAATGAAGCCAATTGAGATCTTTAAATTTGTTGTAATTTCGTCTTTTCACAGATGGTATGCTCCACAGCCTTACATAGTTTTCTATTTAAATTTAAGCTTAAATTTTATTAGCCACTAAAGTGCCTAAAGAGTGCCTTGCAGTGGTGGTTACTGGACACACGTGGTCTATTTTGTACATTATAGGTTCAGAGAAAACGAAATGCCTGATCATATTATTTCTTTCTCATTTTGCTGCATCTCTGAGTATTAATCTTACATCAGGAAAACTTTCTATAGTAATGAGGACCCTGAAAATTCTGTCACTCTACTTCAGGTTTAGTTTAATTTAATTTAATTTGCTTGGGTAAATGAGCAGCAGTAAAGCAAAAGGGTAGGAGGGTGTCTGGAGGAGAGAAAGTCAACTTGCCAAGGCTTACCACTCCGGTTTATATCAACCTATTTGTAACCATTGTTATATCAATGATAGCACTTTTGGTGTCTATCTTGGCAATCTCCCCCCACAAAAGACTTTGTTAGCTGCCTATGGTATTCTTTGATGTGTAAATTAAAGCAGAGTACTTAATGAGGCTTTTTCCAATGAAAGGGAGGACCCAAGGCAAATCATTAATTTTATATATTTCCAAAGCATAACTAACATCACTCCAAGGACCATAATGAAGCAAAAATGTCAAAAATTTCAGAGGTTTCCTATGCATAAACACTCCTATCGTAATACTAGGGGCAAATGTAATCTAAAACGTAAAATCCGATCCTTTTGCGGTTCACAAGTGTGATGACCGGAGTGCACATGCATGCGAGATGTGCCTCCCTTGAACTTTGACATCAGCACATTACCTGTCTGATGGAGAAAAAAATTTTTTTAAATAAAAAATAAATACAATGCAAAATCTTTCCATATATGCCATTTAAAATTGTTTTCACCCAGGAAAAGAAAAAGATGAAACAAATCCCATTCCTGACGAAAAGAAATACAATAGGGGGTTAATTTTAGTGGTAATAAGAATTATTTGTCATCTAAAAGGTGAGGCAAATTTTCTAAAGTTCCCTGGTAAGCCATTTGCCATGGTTTATGGGGACTTCTTGTTCACCGTATATGTTATTTTATAGAATTTTGTTAAATGCATTAAATGTATATCAAATATTCTGCTCATGGAGAAAATAGTTTGTTCCTATACTATGTTAGTGTTAACAATGGTGGTCTAACATTTTTACAGACTGTATCTCAATATGTTGTTTTGTTGTTGTTGTTGTTGTTTTGTTTTTTTGCAGTTTTTGGCTGGGGCCAGGTTTGAACCCACCACCTCTGGTACATAGGGCCAGCACCCTACTCCTTTGAGCCACAGGCACCACCCTCAATGTGTTTTTTTAAAATCTCTTTTTGTATTAAACACAAAGAGATGAAGATTTTAAATTCAGTTTTATATAATAAGAACTGGCTCCCTTTGTTCTATTGCTTTTTTAAAAAAATCAATCAAAGGCTCTGCACCTATAGCTCAGCAGCTAAGGCACCAGCCACATACAGTGGAGATGGTGGGTTTGAATCCACCCTGGGCCTGCCAAACAACAATGACAACTACACCAAAAAATAGCTGGGCATTGTAGCAGGCACCTGTAGTCCCAGCTACTTGGGAGGCTGAGGCAAGAGAATCTCCTAAGCCTAGAGTTTGAGGTTGCTGTGAGCTGTGACACCACAGCACTCTACCCAGGGTGACAGCTTAAGACTCTGTCTCAAAAAAAACAATCAAAAATATACAATACTCTTGCCCAACAATACAGAATGAGAGATTGGAAGACAATATAAAACTATGTTTATAGAGGATAAAGTTTATAGAGAATGACAATCTTCTTTTCCAATAATCAATTCCAAGAATCAGTATACATTAATTTTTTTCTGTGCAGTTAGCCCAGTTCTGGGATCCATAAGAAACACTTCAAAATATTGTCCAGTTACTCATGCTTAATAAATATAGTAAACTATTTGGAAAAAATTTGAACATCTTCCAGGCACAGTAATTCACACCTATAATCCTAGTACTGAGGGAGGCCGAGGCAGGTGAATTGCCTGAGTTCACAGGTTCAAGACCAGCCTGAGCAAGAGCAAAGCCCCATCTCTAAAAATATCCAGGATCTGTGGCAGGCACCTGTAGTCCCAACTAATTGGGAGGCTGAGTCAAGAGAATCGCTTGAGCCCAAAAGTTTGAGGTTGCTGTGAGCTATGACACCACAGCACTCTACTAAGGGTGACAAAGTGAGACTCTGTCTCAAAAAAAAAAAAAAATTAAACAATCTATCTTGCTGAAAACTTCAAAAAACAAAACAAACTAAAAAATGCTAAGAAAAAATTACTTGTTTGATAGAATGTAAATTAGATAAAATTTAAGACAACCTCAGATTGAGTCAGCAATAAGGTATTTAAGATATTTTTCTTACTGGGAGATATTTTTTGGTGGAAAATCTAAAACAAATTATAATTTTGGTTTATTTAACAGTTTTTTTAGTTAGTAACCTAGCAGTTAACTAGATATTCTGCAAATACAATCACACTGAAAATGGACTTATTATATAGATTAAGAACTTTGCAAGTTCAATTATTATGAAAAATAATGACTCCATATTATAACTTGAAAGACGTATGTTCAATGTCAGTGCTAGTCTACAATAAAAGTGTTACAAATGGGTTCTAATAACACACTGCTTTAGGCTACTGAGATTAACTTACTGCACACAGGTCTAACAAAGCAAGCAATGTTTAAGTCTCACCCTCTGTCCGGGACTTATTGAGAAGGAAATGTTCTCCAATATGGCATTCCCACTGTCTATATATCTTGCTGTGAGGTCTTTGACGGTCATTTGGCCTCCTGAAGGCCAGATGTCATCTTTCTTCACATGTAGATTCTCAAAAATCATAACTTTTGAGAGCTGGCAATCCTTGGATGGTTTGATGGACTTGGTAGATCTACCTTCTTCTGTCGGCATATCAATAAACTTAAAGACTCGGCTCACAGATCGCATCTGAAATACAAATAACAATATTTTATTTTTGTTTAAGAACTGGGGACGGTTTCATAACTGGTTCCACGTTTTCAAAAAAATAACAATGAACTCAGAGGAAATAATTGGATCTAATTAAGAGCTTAACCAAAGAGAATTAACTAGGACTTAAATAATGGGGGAAAATGGGCTCTGTTTTGTTTTTGTGATCACTTAATTCTCAGTTATGTAAGCCACACATAAATAGCCAAACTATTCTCAAGGGAATAGATGATGTCAAAGGAAAAATTTATTTCTCCTCTGAGGTCCACTGCACAATGTTGTCAACTAATATATTACAATAAAATGTACCACATCTCAAAACCACTACTGAAAATTTTTTCCTTTAGAACTACCTTAATAACGAACTAAAAATCTATGTGTCAGCTAAGTGGTAAGTGGACTCTTGATGCTTAGTCAATTTGCAATAACTTCACCATAATCTTTGAACAAATTTAAGTCACTCACATAATTTGTATTTACATAATTACATTTTTTATCTAAATTACTTAAATATCAATGTCTAAACAAAATGTAACTGCATATAGGGATTATGCTTGAAATTAATTATGTATCTGCTATCTAAATCTATTTATCTAACATTTAATAAAGTATATCTTTAATGTGCACAGAAAGGGATCTATCATATTTTTAAAGGTGTTTAATTATATTCTTTAACAAGAACATATTTCTCTGAATAACCCAATGATTTATTGGAATATGATTTTTAAAATAGCCAGGAATATAAGTTACCATATATATATATGTGTGTGTGTGTGTGTGTGTATTTGAAAAACTAGTAAGTGAATAAAGTAATGAAACCAAAAAGTGAAATGGGAAAAATTCTTTTAGCATGGAATGATTGGTGGAAAAGCAGAGGAGTTTAGATGTTGATCCTGAATTGAACATTAAAACTTCCATCTTAGCAATTCTAATTGTGTTGCCTGCTCTTACATGCCACTGATCAAGTTTGCTTCTTCTTTCTAGTGATTCTGTGCTTCAGTTTCCCTCATCTTGAAAAATATCTTCAGATTATCTTCAATACAAGAAGAGAAACCTTTGAAGTCAAACCCACTATTAATGGAAGTGAAAGGTATCCAACCCCACAAGCCCACACCCATCAAAAATAACTCCAGAGGAAGCAAAAGGCATGTGGTCACAATTGTTCCCACTTGTAATATTTTAAATTCTAAATTATGAATGACTTCCAAGGGTAGTTAAATCTTTATTCAGTTATTGTTGATTTAAGCATTGCTTGCATTTTCATTGTCATTAATTTTCATAGAGAGCAGCTAATCTATCTACAGTCTGGAGGACAAGTTAGAATTGTGACTACCATCGAGATGAAACTGCCAAAGACATACCTCAAATGCATTTACAATTATCTTATTGTATTTATCCTCTCTACAAATAGCATTCCTCTCTTAAGATCACTGAAGGAAATACACAAATGTACTTAACTTTATAGAAACACAACATTTTCTATGTCAATTCTGTGCAGAAGTCTAAACTCATCTTTTGTCAGGCAAAATAAAAGACAGGAAAGACACTACATAGCAAAAATCCTTCACATTTTAATATTGCAAAGAATCAGTAAAGCATTTAAATATTATGATCCAAATTACTCAAAACTGTATATAGCCTTATTTGAAAGTAAGGACTTTCAAAACCGCTACTTTGGGATGAACGCAGTATATAATTTTTTTTTGTCTGAGCACTTGTGTTTGAGTACTTCAAATTATATTCTCCATTAGTGGCGCTCACCACTGAAGGTGCGTTTAGAACTTATAATGTCAAAAGTGACAAATGGAATATATCTATCAAATTTAGAAAATGAAACTTTCCAACTCACAGTCTTTCATGTAATCAAGCTGCTTAAAGTGACCCCAGGACACACTATTATTGTTACCCATGGTGTGGTCAAATATCCCTGACCAAGAACATGTTACTTCATCTTAACAATGGGCAGTCATCCACAGTATATGAGCGGACATTCATTCAATTCAGCGAGTCAGAACATTTTCTGGCAGGAAGAAAAAGTGGCTAGTACAGACACTTGCATCATGGCCAACTTTGTAACCACTGAAATGCCATTACAATGAGGTGGCCAGATAATACTATGAATTACTAACCAATTCCTTGTAACCTGTAGGCTTTCCAGCTTGGACATTCTAACTCATTGTCTCTGGAAGAAGAAGCCGCATCATAATAAGAGCTGAGAAAATTAATTCTGGTCTTTCAAGTTTCAAAAATGGGCTTTTGAAACTCAACTCAGACATTGATAGTTTGAAAATTTCAAGTCATAAGGCTATTGGCTTTTATGCTTCTAACCCAAAGCCTGAAGGCCTCAAAGTTTAGTGTTTATGTAAAAACAATAGCCACAGATGAATTTAATTATGATAGACAAGAAACAGCCATTCTCTTCACCCCATAATCTGAGTCAAGTAAGACCACACACAAATGGAGGCTAAAACACAAAGGGCTTACGCGCCAGTTCCTTTAGGAAGGAATTTTACTTTGCAACCAAATCCTGGTTCTATCCTCAAGTAGACCTGGCAGATTATAGAACACAGGAAAGCTGTGCCTCACTTCCAAGGTGAAGCTCAGGAAAGAGGCAGGCTGCAGAGAAGCTTCCAGTGCCTGGCATGATAAGGACGCAGTAGAGAGGACATGTTTGCTTGGCATGTCTGGGCATAGACAACTTTATAGAACTTTATTTTCCCCTGTTTTTCCAGAGTATTGCTGAGAGGAAGGCAAATAATTTAAATATTTTATTCCCCTCAGGGACATGGAAGAAGCTGAAGCTGAGAGGAAGCTCATCAAGGGAGAGCTCACAGTGAGGAGAAGAAGGACACAGATTCCATCTACCTGGCCCCTTACCATTAAATCAGACAGGACCATCAGGGCCCAGAGGCAGTGAGCACGGACAAGGGACAACACAGCGCCAGGTGTTCCCTCATCCCCACTACCTTGGCATTCTGTTAACTCTGCTCGGAACCCAGCAAGATCCCTGAATTCGCTGACATTGTTTCTTTCACTAAGTCAAATGTGTGTGTTCAAACAGAAAATAAATTCAACTATAAGCAAAAAGTAATGTCATATTTCTGGCATACTTGTTTTCATAGACAAAGATTCGTAGCTATTACCAGGGACGGAGCCAGGTTTTGTGCAGCCTGAAGTGTAAATAATTTAGGGGATTCTTCTTAAGAAAAAATAATCAAAATTATGCATATCAAATTAAGCAAAGGGCCTACAAAGGGATTTATGCAAGTGAGAGGGCCCAAAGCCTATATCTCATGGACTTTGTATTAAACCCATTCTGCCTATTATGGTAACTTTGTTCAAAGCATTCCTTGTTGTATTTAAACAATACACTGTTCAAAGCATTCCTCCCCATCTAGTGCTTAGTACCACGCGATCTCTTAATAAATCTTTGTTAATAATGAATGAATTCATTATTCTACCTCCTGTACAGGAAGCTGTGTCTGTGTAGCAAGAGACAGCGTGTGAGTGCCTTAGCCAATGACCAGGGTGCAGTTTTACCCTTCGGCTTGTCAGCCTCAAAATGTGTCGCTGTTTGGATTAGACAGAAGTTACAACCTACCACACTATTTTTAGTCAAATTCACTTGCTTTCACTGAGCTTTTGAACCTCCCTTAATCCTTCTGCTCATTTAGAGTGCCTACTAAACATTGCCACATGATACCTAGAAGCTACCATGCCATTGTCCAGACACCTAGATTGTGCGGGATGGAGCTTCAAATTTGGCAATTGTCAGAGTGACTGTGCATTGGTAAACTCCTTAACCTCAGGCTGCTGCTTCCCTGAACAGAAAGAGTCCTGAGGAGGAAGGAAGGGGCAGCTGCATCTGCAGCAGCAAGTCTGCCCCCCACCCCCACCCCCAGCAGCAAAGTCTCCCCAGAGCCACCACCAGCGTGGGCAGGAGAACTCCTCTCTCAGACTTTGAGAGGTAAAAGAAGCCGCCAAAATGAGACCCAGGTACTGACACAACGAACCTATCTTTCTTCATTTGTGGGGAAGAAAACTTGGCATAATTTGTGTAGACTTTTGTAAAATGATAGTTTAGCCAAAACACAGTGGGATGGGATTTTTTCTTCATAAAAATCATCTGCTTGAAATTTTGGCTTTATTATTTAATTTCATTATGTTCTCCACCTAAATTCTCCAGAGATTCTCCTGAGCACCTCGAGAGTCGATCCTTACAACTGCATCTCATTATTCTTATAAGAATCTCTAAAATCACTAACCTGACCAGCAGAAGAATAAAGTCTTCGGGGAGTATCCATCTTTTTTTTTTTTTTTTTTTTTTGCAGTTTTTGGCTGGGGCTGGGTTTGAACCTGCCACCTTTGGCATATGGGGCTGGCGCCTTACTCCTTTGAGCCACAGGTGCCACCTGAGTATGACAGTCTTAACAAAAAGATAACTCCACACCTGGCCTCATCTCAACTTTACTTTATAAAGGTGGCAATTTAAGTCAAGAAGAAAATGATTCCTGATTTTCTTTTTCACTTTTTGTTGACAAAGAAAAAAAAGAGGGCTTACAGACCTTTTCTAGAATAAGTCAGAAAGCCAGACTTCTCTCCTTCACAAAAAATACATGCTATTTCCTTTCAACTTTTTGGTTCTTCAGAAGCCAATGCATCAAAGTTATGCATTAACAACCAAACTATAAGGTATAAAACCCCCAGAAGCCATTTTCATACACCTGAAATCTGGCCAGCAACACTTCTAAAGGGTCTTCACAACTAGTTGTTATAGGAGCATTGCAGAAATAAAGTAAAGAAAACATCTGAAAAACTGGCACAATATGAAAAACATCACACATTTTACAGGAGAAAATTTCAAACTATGAGGTATATAAAAGCAAAGATTAAAGTGTTTCAAATCATAAATCATTCCTAGTAGGCCCAAACGAAATGCTTTTTAGTACTCACAGAGACCAGAGACACAATGCCAAATT